TCGGTCAAATATGACCAATCTGTCATATTTGTCAACTAAATCAGATGATCGCCGCAGTTACAGATCACGGCTTCAATGTATAAATATCATTCAATAAACTTATATATTCGTAAAGAAATACATTGAGAAAATAAGACAAAAAATAAAAGACAAGCTATAAATCAAGGGTGGTAAACTATAGCATATCCATCGGGACAAAACATAATTTTTCCATCTGGATTAGAAACTAATAATAATGATAAAAGTTAATTATTAATTGTCAATCAAAATAATTATTAAAGTTCATTATTTTTTTTTATACATACGTTTCATTTTCGTATATCCGTTTTCTGAAACATTTTTTGGTTCTTTCAGGAGAACTTTCTAAAAACATAGTTGAAGTCAAGTCGAAATCTCCCTCAACTGGATATGCAAATCCACTTTGTTCAACAAAATCCTTACAAAAATCTGCTTCGTGATCAACTTTCCCGCTTTGATCGTGATAAAACTCATTATTGCACTTTTCTCAATAACTTCATTTGCTACACCAGTGAACCGGATAGCAAGATTGTGCCCAAGGATAACAGGGTCCGGATTATATATGAATGTATTAATTGTGACTGGGAATTGTCATCGCAAATTTTAAAGCCGCTAAGTGAGTCTTGACGTTTTCGTACCTCCAATGAAGTTGAATGTACGAACGATGCCAAAGTCAAGAAAATTTCGAGTAAAATAATAATTGTATACATTTTCAATTTTTTTGTTCTGTTACAAATAAAGGGCAGTGCTTTAAAACTTCTTTTTATTTAAGTTGAAAATTAGAGAACACAGTAATATATATAAAATATGATAATGATAAAAAACGAAATAATAATATATCTATTTTTAATCCTTTTTCATTGAATAATTATGTAATTGCTATTTTCGAAATGACAATGGGAATAAATTACATCATGCAGCCATGACATATTTTCCAAAAGATACGGAAACTGCGTTAAAGGATTAAATCTATGCGAGATGTTGACGAAAGTTCTACTTATGGTAAATTTATAAAGAATTATTCTTTATTATTCTTATTATTCATTATATTAAATGAATCCTTCTTCGAGTTTAATTAAAGAAACTCCATTTGTGATTAAAATACACAATCAAATGTGATAGGAATAAAGATCTATGTATAACGTTTTTTACATAACTCTCCAATGGTCAATAATTATTTTTTTTTCAATTTCATATAACAAAAGTGATAATAATTTATTTTTGCAATAAGTAATACATATATAATATAATATATGAGCTAACTTCGAAAGAACAATCGCGTTAACTTTCGTGGCGAAAAGTTGAATTATTTATTATTTATTATTTTTTTAGAATCGTCTTTCGACTGGCTTCACTAGTTGATTTCTTATAAAATAAAAGAAAATTTTTCTATATGCATCTTTAAATAATTCCAACTTTATTTAGTTGCAAAGAAACTAGAGAATAACATATGTGAAAAAAGATAGTTCAGACGTTCATTCAAAGGTAGTCCACCTGGATTCAAAACTAACTAATATTTAATAATGATGTAATAATGAATGAATGGTCAAAACAATCATTAACGTTGTATTAGTATTTATTGTATCATATGTAATTTATTTTAATAAAGTTATTGTCTGATCACTTAGTGGAAGAATTCAGCATATGATACACTGTATTTCTATTTTTTTTCTGTCAATATATAAATTATTACTAGTTAGAAATTGAGAATTTATTTTTAGTTTGTAATATTTTTTTTTTATTAAACAAAAAATTTAGTTAATAATCGCGTTTATTTACTTTAAAAACTTGTTATTTTGATTGAAAGAAGTAAAACGAATTAATATTTGTATAATCAAAGGTAGTGCTCCGTAAGGGTCGGGTCGGGTCGGGTTTGAAGCAAACTCGAACTCAAACCCGTTAATATTTACAGGACCCGAATTCGACTCGACCTGATTGTTGTTCGACCCGACCCGATTATTGTTTAACTCGTATTCGACTCGAATTTTAAGGTAATATTCATACCGAAAG